TATGTAATATTTATACACGAAATCATATTTACATGACAAATCTGTTGAGCTATAGTATTAATTTCAGCCAAAGTAAATCTGTCTTTGCGTATATGAAGACGGATATACAGTGATATGCCTCTACATACATTAGTCACTACTCCCAATTGAGGAGATTTTAATTAGACTTTTCTGTGCTTGCCTCTAATAAAATGCTTATTGCCACTCCGTTCTTGACTATCCTTTTGCTTATTTATTATTACTGTAAAGAAAAACAGCTCACAAAGTACATTTTCCTATTTTCTTATTATCAAATAATTGTAATTTTACTTTTTCAAAACTACAACTTATCTGATATATTGAAAGCTTCAATCCGCTTCCTTCGATCCAATTAATTTTTGGAATATTTCGGAAATTTTAAAACTTTTATCCGTTTTACTCCACCGACCGGTGGATTATAGTGCTTTGAACCTTTTTGCAAGGTTATATAGCGCTCTGATCAAAACATTCAAAACTGAAGTTACATCGGCTGGCTGTTAAAACACACTTTGCACTTTACTGATGCACTTTACTGACGCAACTTAGTCATGGATGTAAAAATAACTAACAAGGAAAGGGACCCAAATGTCCCCCTCCGATTTCGATGAGCTTTTGATATGTTATTCTCCAGACAAAACCAAGAATTAAGCTACCGCATATTCATGCCCGTTCGCATTTTTAGGTGGTGAGACACCCCTTAGAAAAAAATCGGTTTTTTTATTTCAATGCAAATATTGTCGAAACTAGGAGAGATAGAAAAAATGGTCTGAATAAAAGTTGAATGGCTTTAAGAGTACTTTATATAATAATTATAATTAAAAATAATTTTTATTACTTAATTTTTTGTTTATCCCCACCACCACCAGTTTTTTTTTAATTTTTCAAATTTTTTTTTGCCAAATTAAAGATTATTTTAAGACAAATTCAATATTCATAGTTATACATCCGCAGAATATTGCGGAAATAGATTTGCTTTCATCATTATCCCCTGTTAAATGAAAAAATGCGAGCAGACCGTGTTGCGTGAAGAATTGCTGCGTGCGCGCAGCGTAAGCGAGCACGGATGGTGTGCGTACAGAGGCGTTTATAAATATTTATCGAAAATGATACTTCGGCAAATAACTTTATTACACATAGTTGAATTCGTCTTAAAATAACCTTTAATTTGGTAAAAAAAATTCGAAAAATTAAATAAAAATTGGTGGTGAGAGTAAACAAAAAATTAAACAATAAAAAAATTATTTTTAATTATAATTATAAGGTACTCTTCAAGCCATTCAACTTTTATTCAAACCACTTTTTTCTATCTCTCCTAGTTTCGACGATATTCTCATTAACCCTTATGTGCACAACCCGTGGACAACGGGTACCCGTGTGTCCACCGCGCCATATTATTGCTCATAACTTGATTAAAAATTGAAATATCGATTTGTCCCTCCGGATCCCCATTATTTAACTCTTTTAGAATATAAAATCACTAACACAATATTTTTTTTCAATTTTTTTTAACCTAAACTACATGACTTTATTACATGTACATAATGGGCACAACTGGGTACCCGTGTATCCACTAGATGTAAAATAATGTTTTCACTTAGGAATTAATTAATAACATTGATTAATATTGAATAACATTGATTAAAATACACGCTTCTACACGTTTGTGCCTCTCTGAGTCTCTGTATCAGTGTATCCTACTACTGCCGTCTTATCCCCACTACATAAATTTCGAACATCTGTCGGTCGCCGAAGACCGCCCGACCTCCTTCGTACCTGCGCAGCGTTCGAGACCCTATTGTTATCTTTTTTTTTGTGAAAGCTGTTGCGGGCTCAGGAACTCAAATATGACTTAGATACTTTCTATTGATGTTTACTCAACGGAATGAATTTATTTCAAACGATTCCGTTCGCATACAATCTCACAAATTAAGATAAACTCGTGGTGGATACCCGGGTACCCTGGTTGTGTAACAACGTGGTAAAAGTTGGTTGTGCACATAAGGATTAAAATAAAAAAACCGATTTTTTCCTAAGGGGTGTCTCACCCCTTAAAAGTGCGAACGGGCACGAATATGCGGTAGCTTAATTCTGGGTTTTGTCTGGAGAATAACATATCAAAAGCTCATCGAAATCGGAGGGGGACACTTGGGTCCCTTTCCTTGTAAGAACGAAACAGGGATTCTAAAATCGAACCCCAGGCATTAATAGCACGAACTGTACATTGCGCGCACGATTGCGGGGTACCCTTGTCCATTGATTTACATTTAAATATTGACATAATTGATGCGCTTATCACAGAAATATCTAACTGCCGAAATTGAGTTTCTTATTTTAAAGCATTTATGATTTTATAAGTTAATAACGCTTTAAGTTTGAAAACCGAATTTTGGCAGTTAGGTTACTTTTGCGGTAAGCGTCGCAATTTTTCATACAATGACAAAGAGATCGCTTTTAAGCTTTATCTCATTTATTTATGGTTTTAATGTCAGTATAATATCACGGAATATCAATGAATAAAAATTAGATGATATCATTTTAACTTTTATATATATATTGTGACGCCGCAGTCCGCTGCGGCGGAGCAGCGTCCCGCCGCCGTCACAAGGCGCAGGTTCGCGCCCCCTTTTTGCCGGACCGGCAGCCGCGTTGTCGAAGCGAGACCGAGATCTCCGGGAGGCCCGAGTTTAGACCGCGTACTTTTAT